CTTGAGTCATACTTGAACCTTGTCAATTATTCGCTTATCAATCTTCACTGTCTTGATATGAGCGTGTAGGCGTGTGTACACTTCTTATCCCATTATTAATCACATGTGTGTAACTTATTTTTGTGTAACTATAAATATTGATTAACGCTTGGTTAAAGGGGAGTTGGCTTACCAGCCATCTCCGCCGTGTTATATCCGAGCAAAGATTAAATCACGAGTAACTTCTGAGACATTAATTGACTAATATCATTTATATATTCTTACGGTATAACGATTCAATAGTTAGATTATGTATATTTATATTCCTCTTATTATAAGCTTCATTTCATGTACCTAAATAAATGGTTGCTCTGGTTGTCAGAAGGAGCATCGGCCTCGTGACTTCCGAAGAAACTCGGCTTTCATCATGAGGCGTCATAATTCTTCTAAACGAAGACCTCCATACTCCCAGGGCAGAGTTTAAATATTTTGAATAATTTTTTCTGGTTAGCGATTTTTTAGCGAGTTAGTTTTCTACGGGATGGGGTCGCTAACCCCATGTCCAACCCTCCTCCTTTATCCGGGCTTGGGACTAACAGTAGCCCCCGGAAAGGGACTCCAGGCGGATGTGAAGGCACGGATTGGCAAAGCAAGAGCAGCATATTTACAACTGAAGAATATCTGGAACTCAAAACAATTGACAACCAAAACCACAGTCAGAATTTTCAATACAAATATCAGCACAGTCAGTTCTACTGTATGGGGTGGAAACCTGGGAAACTGCGAAATCCATCATCCAAAAGATACAGGTGTTCATTAACAGTTGTCTATGCAAAATACTTCGGATCCGTTGGCTGGACACCATTAGCAACAACCTACTGTGGGAGAGATCAAATCAGTTCCCAGTGAAGGAAGAAATCAGGAAGAAGCGCTGGAAGTGGATAGGACACACATTGAGGAAAACACCGAACTGCGTCACAAGACAAGCCCTCACACGGAATCCTCAAGGTCGAAGGAAGAGAGGAAGACCAAAGAATATATTACGCCGAGAAATGGAGATAGATATGAGAAAAATGAACAAGAATTGGATAGAGCTAGAAAAGAAGGCCCAGGACAGAGTGAGTTGGAGAATGCTGGTCGGCGACCTATGCTCCATTGGGAGTCACAGGAGTAAGTAAATAAGTAAGTATTATAAGCTTCACTTTGACTTATAATTTATCATTGTACGATTTACTGTCCTTAAATTATGCTCAGTTTATTAATTACTGTCTCCCTTTTTTTGGCTTATTTGTGTACACATGTTATTTTCTATTTTATGGTACGTTGTGGTCTGCCTGATTGATATATAAACCGAGTATGTCTGAAATAAATGATTTGGTCCGATTCGATTCATATTACGGAAGCTGGTATTGTGTTCTGGACTCAAGAGGATTAGTTAGAAGTACATAGGACCCAATAAGGACTCTAGACTGCTCATACCGGTTGAACGTCATTGGTCTTGTCATAGTGCGAATATTTGTATGAGTCGTATTCTGATTGGTGGATAAGCCACGTGATCGTAAGCCGGACATAAAATCATAACACACCGCGCGTCAACTTAGCTTCGCTTTCTCATCCTTGCATCGTTCTTTCGTTCGTTTGTCTGATCAATGATTATACAAAATATATGTCTCCAGAGTTCCATTCTCGTTATTTGACTTATTTAATTCCGTTATTGACTAACGCGATTTAAGTCAATGATTGTATACGAGGATAGGCGACATAGGTATTTCAACATTAATCATCATTACGATCTAATTGGAGTCAGATCACCGAGCCACTAAAGTGGAGAACCCTTCGACAACATTGTTCGATCTAGATGACGACAAAATAAAGGGCCTCCACAAAAAAGTACCTGATTTTGATCTTTGGTAGGATTTTGAATGTGTACTACTATGTTAGTATTAAACTAGAACAAAACAACTGTACAAAGCTTCTTGTTTTTCAATGGCTGTTCAACTTACATTGGCCTATGATCTAAATAAAAGAAAAGTGATTCAATTCAAGAGATTCGTAAATAGGAATAGGGAAACAGCTGCTTAGAATGAAGTCGTAATTGTATTATTTGCATGAGCTATGATTTCTGAGGAATTCATGAATATACATATATATGGCAGGTAGATAATCTTGGGGAAGAAACTTGAAGAACTACCACAACCATCATTCAGAAGATACAAAAGTTTATTAACAGTTTTCCGCCCACGCAAAATACTTTGGATGCGTTGGTCAGACACCATCGTCAATAACCTATTTTAGGAGAGAACAAACCAAATCCCAGCGGAGTAGGAAATCAGAAAGAAGCGCTTAAGTCGATAGGATACACATTGAGGAAAGCATCCAACTGCATCACAAAGCAAACACTCACTTGGAATTCTCAAGATCAAAGGAAGAGGAGAGGAAGATCAAAGAACACATTACACCGAGAAATGGAGACAGACATAAGAAGAATAAACAAGAATTGGAGGGAATTAGAAAGGAATGCCGAGGAGTGAGTGTGTTGTAGAATGCTGGTCGACGGCCTATACTCCACTAGGAGTAACAGACGTAAGTAAGTAAGTAAGTAAGTAAGTAAATATATGAGGTAGATAATCCTATTTTATATTACTTACTATACTATGATTATGAAAATTGATTTTATAATTTGCTGATGTATTTACTAATAATGGTTGACAAGTGATTGTTTCTGGCTCAATCGATAATTGAGCATTTCCTGACATTGTAATGACACGTAATTCTTTTTGTTTTATTTCATATGAATATTCATTAAATTTTTGATCCTTAGAATAGTTCTTCAATTGATTAAATCTCCAGTATCTAAGACGTGGTTTAAATACACAATTAGTCAATTGTGTTGGATGAAATGTCCACATTTGTGACTGAAAATAACAAAAAAAAAAAACAAAGAATACATATATTAAACAAAATAGATAATTAAGATGTCATAGTGATATAATATATAGGTTGAAGTTAGGGTGATTTTTACAACTACTTATTTACTTAGGCCAGTTACTCCTCGTGAAGGAGCTTAGACCGCTCACAAGCATTCTCCATTCAACACTGTCCTTGGCAATACTTCCCAGCTCTTTCCATTTCTTATTGATCCTTTAAATATCTGATTCTATTTACCGACGTAATGTGTTCTTTGGCCTTCCACTTTTTCGCTTTCCTTCAGGATTGCAAGTTAGGGCTGACCTCGTGATGTAGTTTGATGAGTTGCGTAATGTATATCCTATCCACCAACTTCATCATCTTTTCCTAATTTCTTCTTCAGCTAGAAGCTGGTTAGTTCTTTCCCACAGAAGGCTGTTACTGATGGTATCCGGTCAATGAATGTTGAGTATCTTGCGTAGACATCTATTGATAAATAGCTGTACCTTTTTGATGATGGTTATAATAGTTCTCCACGTTTCAGTTCCATACAGTAGAACTGTCTTGACGTTGGTAATGAGTATTCTGACTTTGATATCTGTTGAAAGTTGTTTTGAGTTTCATATGTTCTTCGATTGAAAGAATATGGCCCTTGTTTTGCCAATCCTCGCCTTTACGTGTGTATCTGAACCTCCTTGTTTATCGATGAAGCTTTCCAGGCATGTGAAGGATTTAGTATGAATCAACACAAGTTAAACGAAGAAATGTTTCCTATTAATTCAGTCAGTCAGTCAGCTATAACGTAGGACCAGGCACATATATGCATCAGTCCAATTCGCCATACCTCATCAGCACAACAAGACGAATATACAGATTCATAAAAGTAGTTAATTCAGTGATGGTAATATATAAAAGAAAAATTGCATACAAAGACATAGTACAGGAAGAAAGAATTAGTTCATAGGAAGAAAGATATTAAGCAATTTTAATCTTGTAGTTTAAGGGAAGATAAAGAGTGTATACACCTACACCATTGTGATCGATTCTGAGCCATTTCACCAAGAGTCTCCAACCATTGATTACGATAGTCACTTGGACCCCAACCGAGTAGTCTACATCTACCAACATGGCTCAGACTAGAAGTTAGTGACTTCAAGCACTGATGCCACATTTTTGTTTGACCACCCCTAACGTTCATTTCAATTAGTTCTTCATGAGGGCTCTACACTAACTAGCGTTGTTCTGGTTAGTGTTTTTTTTAGCGGTTTAGTTTTCTATAAGTCAAGATCGGTAACTCCATGCTCAAACCTCCTCCTTTATGTGATCTTGGGATCTGCAGTATCTCCAGAGGTGCTTCAGGCTCTACACTAACATATACATATTATAAATGGGTAGAAGTCTATGGCAACTAGATAGTGATGAGTTAGTTTACTAATATGATAATCAATTAGTTACATAATGTTTGAAAGACTATAATTAAAACTAAGGTGAAATGTTTACAATCAGTTAATGATTACAAATTGTTACATAAGAATAGGAATAGGAATTGAAATCACTATGTGTGAAAAGGAATCGGTGATAATATTCAGAAATACGATGGTGTATTTATTTAGCTGTGCGCAACAACCTACTGTTGGAGAGAAAAAATCAGATCCCAGTGAAGGAAGAAATCAGGAAGAAGCGCTGGAAGTGGATAGGACACACATTGAGGAAAACACCGAACTGCGTCACAAGACAAGCCCTCATATGGAATCCTCAAGGTCGAAGGAAGAGAGGAAGACCAAAGAATACATTACGCCGAGAAATGGAGATAGACATGAGAAAAATGAACAAGAATTGGATGGAACTAGAAAAGAAGGCCCAGGGCAGAGTGGGTTGGAGAATGCTGGTCGGCGACCTATGCTCCATTGGGAGTAACAGGCGTAAGTAAGTAAGTAAGTAAATATAACTAGATCTGCAAGAGTATTTCAATCAACAATTGAATAATGTGGTTATTTCAATTCTTTACAAACAATAAAGAGATATGATTATCTTTTATGAAATGAGTTTCCTTGATAAATGTTTATTTTAACTTCACAAAAGATTACTCCTGGAGTTCTACTGAGAAGCCATGACAAGTGGGAGTTCAACCGTGTCTATTGTGAGATACTTATTCACTAAAGACAATGGTGAATGGTTGAGCAATATCATGAATTGATTGAAGTTAAACATTAACACTGTTATATGTCGGATCAGTAGTCTAGAGATTAGGCATTGGAGTGCAAGATCGAAAGTTTCCGAGTTCAAATCCCATATGCGTGTCCGTGTACACGCACTGCTGAAGAGTTCTGTACTTCTACATCTCCATAGACAAAAGACAATACTGAAAATGAATAAAATGAGCTATGTTACATAACTATTGAAAGGAAACGATTAATAAATGAATAAAGTATAAGATATCATTGAAGAAAGTTAAATCAGTAGTATTTACATACTTGTATTTCATTTGGTAATAAGATTCCGTTAATTGGATGAACTTCTAATTCAGTTTTGTCATCAGAAATAATTTCCCAACAAAATCTTTAAAAAAAAAGGAAGAAAACAATTCCATTACAAGTAATACTAAGATAGTTACGTATTATGATCTAAGTTAATTGTAAGCAAGATGGATAATGGCTAGTAGTGGAATCCAGGACGCAAGTTTCATCCTATTCAGAACTCCTTATCTGGATATATCTGCATCTAAGAGTTGATATTTAACTCTGGTACTCGAAAGCCATCGTGTTATTCACTTAGCTACTATTTATCTTTGCTTATGATGCTTGTGAATAAAAGCAATATTGAGGCAATACGAACAGTATGCAGATATATCAACAAGACACTGATCAATTGCAGTAATAAACATCAATGAGAAGAATCAAGTACAACAATATCAAGTGAATTCTCTTTTTTATATATGTTATTATCACAAACGAACATCATTAGGAAAACTATTAAAAACCCAACAGGATACTAGATGAATAGTTTATCCTAGTATGAAATTACTAAGGTAGAAGAGATTCACGACCCAAGAGGTAATCGAACTCAAGACCTTTAGATCAAGAGATGAATACTTAATCTTTAAACCACTGAGTTATTATTCAATAGTTTATATACTCCGTACATTGTGAATCATTTACAATCATTTTCAATTGTTTCTAAAACAGTAACTATCAGTTAATTTCGTGTTATAAACGACATGTAGTGTCGGTTACTATGTTAAGTTTACATAACTAATTCTAGCTTCTGTACAGGTCAGTCTATTCATTCCACTTAAGTCACATTTTGACCTTGTTAATGACTCGTATATCAACCATCACAATTTTTATATGAGTGTATATGTGTAAAGGCGAGCATTGGCAAAGCAAGGGCCGCATTTCTTCAATTGAAGAACATATGGAACTCAAAACAACTTTCAACCAATATCAAATTTAGGATATTCAATACGAATGTCAAAACAGTTCTACTGTATGGAGCTGAAACTTGGAGAACTACAACAACCACCATCAAGAAGGTACAAGTATTTATCAATAGATGTCTACGGAAGATACTCAACATCCATTGACCGGATACCATCAGTAACAGCCTTTTGTGGGAAAGAACCAACCAGCTTCTAGCTGAAGAAGAAATTAGGAAAAGATGATGGAGTTGGTGGATAGAACATACATTACGCAAATCATCAAACTGCATTACGAGACAAGCGCTAACTTGGAATTGTGAAGGGATATGAAAAGAATGAGTAGTAACTGGAAAGAGCAAGAAAGTATTGCCCATGAAAGGGTTGGATAGAGAATTCTGTTGAGCGGTGTATGCTCCTTCACAAGGAGTAACAGGAGTAAGTAAGTAAGCAAGTAAATAACATTCATTAAAACTCACTCTATTTTATAAGGTGAGACATTTGTAATATTGAATTCTTTTTGTGTATATGCACCTACATGTGTAGGTACAAAATACAATTCACCATTGTTTTCGAACGTGATATTTGCTGTGGTAAAGTTGATTTCTATTGGGATTCTCTGAAATAATTAAATGTAAAAGTTAATTTTAATGAATAAAACAAGCATATAAATTTGATGATGATGGTGAAACTATGAATGAACCAATCAGGTATAAGATAAGAGGCCTTGGATTTTGGCGCAAAATTCATTTATCTATTTGGTTAAATAGAGTTTTGCCCTTATAGCTGATGTCAGTTGGTGATGAAACCTCTAAACCTAATTTCTAACCTTAATCATCAACTAATTCTTCACACAGTTTAATAACTCTCATTCGGTCCTGGTTATTACATGAACACTCTCAATGTCAGTCTGGTGTCCCTGAAAGGTCGTCCGTAAATTATGGTTTCACCAAGATGATTAAGTAAGATGTACCAATGTAGAATCAAACACTGTATTATTGAATGGAGTTATCAGCAATAAGAAGAACAACATCCGCATATGTAAGAAATCACAAGGGAGGTTTAAGTAGATCTACTTTACTTGAGGAAAAAAGTAGAAATTCTGTTTTCTGACGTTTCGTTACTCATTGTAAGCTAAGATAGATAATGGCCAGCAGTGGAATTCAGGAAGCACGTTTCATCCTATTAGGGACTCATCAACTCGATATACATGCATCTCAAAGTTGATGTTCAACTCTGGGACTTGAACTCAGTACCGTTCACTTTAAACACCATCACGTTGTTCACTTAGCTACTGAGTCCTTTGCTTATAATGCATGTGAATGAAGGCAATATAGAGGCTATACTCACAGTATGAACATATGTCAATAAGGGACTGATCAATTATAGTCCTATATATCAATTTAACACTTCAATTCGATAATGCTTCCTTAAACTTAATAATTTGATATCTGAACTCTGATTTTTTAAAAAGGGTTGCAGATATCAAACTGATTGTTACGGTGATCGAGAAAATTTCTGGCAAATGATAAGCAAGGATCAGGAAACACTAAGAAGCATTTCATCCAATCAGCGTTCACTTGAAGTTTCAGCCAAAAACATCAAGGAAGGGAGATTCTGATTAGCTGGTTGTTGTACTGCTACTATGTTTAGTAGCATTTCAGAATCTTCGAGCAACCCACGGACATATAAAATATTATAGAAACCCTATATTTTCTGTATTAAAATGAAACTTTGGAGTAAAGTACTTCTCGCATACTTTGCGCTCTCTCTCTTGTGTTCAGGTCAACGTATAGTTCTAGCTTGCGTGTTACGAGAATACCTTAGGAACCTAATATAACGATTCAATTAACAAGACTTATCACTGATTATTTGTGAGAAGATTATTAATAACTTGATCTATTATTTTCATTCAAAACTTCCCATTTACACTTGAAATTCATATTTAAATACTAGTTAGAATCATTTTTTCGTTTTATTTGAATTGATCTCTGTAAGACTCGAACCCGCTTCATTTACCTTCACAGTCAAATAAGGGAAAACTAGTCATACGAAATCCCTCAGACTAATGATCATATTGTAAGTTGATCAATGAAATTAGGACAACACTAAGGATGGTTCAACGATATATCATAATGTATTTAGTCAATAAGTTAATATTGGTGTAGTTTCTATTCAAAACAATGTGGAAATAATATTGATCTTTAAAAGGTGAAGCGATGATAAGTAGTGACATATAATATTTCATTGATTATAACCAACTGTATTGATCTTTATCAATCGTAAATATATATCGATTCTTTAGTTTTTTATACATCGAATCTCGGAGTGAACATCAACTCTGAAATTCAGGTACATCCAGATGAAGAATCTCAACAAGAACGAAATGTGCATCTTAGATCCCGTTACTAACCACCATTCATCTTTTTTTTTCTCATTAAGAACAATGTCTGAAAGACAAGTTGTTATAAGAATCACTTCAATGGAGTAGCTATCCCTGATAGAAGTTTGATAAATGAGACAATCTTTCTCTGTCTCTGTCGCTCTCTCTCTCTCTCTTTATTATATATAATATAAGATAATTACCCATTCATGTTTTGGTTGTTGATTCATTGATACAATCTCAAGTCCTTTCATTATAATTTGATCTTCTCTAATTGCCATGTTTTTTTTAATTTCATTATATGATAGATTAGTTTCACATTGAAACACAATCACTTTATATGAATTAGGCGGAATTAAAGTTATTGAAGGGATAAGTTGAATATTTAAAATATCCCTTGACATTGAAAACAAACAAGAAAAATCATGATGATTGTTAGATTAAAAGAAAACCACATATAAGTGTTTAATGATTAATTGATGTAGAAATTTTTAATGAGAAATTCAATTGAAGCTAGATTATCATGGAAAACCTGAAAGCACTGAACGGCCGTTTCATCCTATTGTGGAACTCTTCAACAGTGTGTATCCACTATCCTACCTCGTGAGATTCGAACAAAGGATCTATCACTATCGCGCACTTACACTTAATCTCTAAACCACTGAGTTAGTATCAACAATACAATGAAACGGCTGTCCAGTGATTTCAGATTTTTCATGATGGTCTAGCTTTAATTGATTTATCATTTCAACCATTATATAATTGATAATACTTAAAATGTTTAGGGGATTGATACTCGCTATAGGATTCAAACTTGTGTCTTAAAGCTTTACAGATAGAGATATTGAAATTCAGCTAATCAATGTTATAACGTGTGATCCGCCTTCAGGAAAATGACACAAATAAATATTGACCAATAAGGAGATGACACGTTGGAAGAATGTTGACCAATGGGGCAATGACGCTATTTCTCATTCAGGAATAGCATTCGATAATTTCTGGGGTATTTTCTGAATACTTCAACTAATCAACACATGAATAATTTCGTGAACAGATAAGATATTTACAAAGAATTATTTATTGAATAGTGATTAGGTGTAATATACCTTCCTGTAATTAAATGATTTACTAACATAACTTTTTCTATTAAAATCTACATAAATCATCACAAATATTTAATGGAATAGTAAATACTTTAATCTATATGTTGGGGTATTCAGAAAATATCCCAGAAATTATCTAATGTCATTCCTGAATGAGAAGTAGTGTCATTTCCCCATTGGTCAACATTCTTCCAACGTGTCATCTCCTTATTGGTCAATATTTATTCAACGTGTCATTTTCCTATTGGTCAAATCTTGTACAAATGTTATTTTCTATTTTATGGTACGATGTAGTCTGTTTGATTGGTATATAAACAGAGTATGTTTGAAATATAACGATTCATATCTCCGAGGCTGAGACTTGTGTTCTGGACTCAATTGGCTGGGCTAGACAGGGAAGCAGGACCAATCGGAGCTCTAGGTTGCTCGGTCGTATTTTGTGCGTCACTGTTTTGGTCGATAATAGGCTGCTCTCTAATAGGCGGATCACACGTTATAACACTATATAAATATTCTAACGTCTTTTTGAAGTAATTCAATTGAAAGCGTTGATCATATTAAGAGAAAGAAATAAAAATTGATCGATATCATTGAATAGACAATGAACTAAATCATTGAGTAAATCTTTGTCATATAGACCAATGTAAATTCTAATTTTATTGTTAAATGATATTATTGTAAGTTACCATGGCTACTGGTACCAGATTTATCCTCCAATTGGCCTTTATTAATGGATTTAATTCTATTCATTCGAATTACGAAGTTTTAATTGAGTCCTGTATCCGTATTTTTCGTCACTATCTTCTTGTGCCAGGAGTAGGTAATTTTTAAGCCTGCTACCGTCTTTATTATATTATTGCAAATAGTAATCCTTTAAATCTAAATTTTGTGCTAATTCAAGATAGTACCTTAGCGTTTTAACGCTGTTATTTGAAGCTGTTCAATGATGAACGCTGAATAATTGTATTTCCTCATCAATATACATCATCCATGACTTCAAGACTAATGTATTCAGTCTACTAAAATTAGACATCAGTACACTGATTGCCAAAACGCGCAATGCTGACTAGTGTAGAGAATGGTTGGAAGAAAGTTAGGGACGGTCAAATCAAAAAATGGCATCAATGCTTGAAGTCACTAACTTCTAGACTGAGCCATGTTGATAAATGTAGACTACTTGGTTGGAGTGCGCGTGACTATCGTAAACAATTGTTGGAGGCTTTAAGTGACATGGCTCAGAATCGATGACAATGATGTTAGTGTATACACTCTCTATCTTTCTTTAAACTAGGATATTTAAATTGTTTTATATCTTTCTTTCTACGAACTAATTCTTTCTCCCTGTAACCTTGTCTTAACGTATATATATTCATCTTATACTACTTACTAAATACAACTCAATGCTTACTGAATTGATTGCTGTCATGGTGTATACTTCGATAAGAATCTTGTACTGTTAGATGCAATCATCTCTGATTATTCAGTTAACTTGGCTTCATAATAACAAAATCCTTATAATAAATTCTTCTATCAAGCTGATCATGCCTGTAAATTAGTGCACTATTCTGTAATTATTTTGATAAACTACATACATGAATACAGATTAGATTAAATGAAAGGATTGTATGGTTCTAGTTTTAACTTATGGTAACATTATAGATGTGTATTGCTGCGATGTTGTTTACCATTACTCTCTAAATTGTATTTAATTAATGATAAAATAGATTAACTTGATGATTGTTTACTAATTTAAGTTGTTGTGATCATGAGTCAATTGATGCTAGACTACCATAGAAAACCTGGAAGCACTGAATGGCCGTTTCGTCCTATTGTGGGACTCCTCAGCAGGGAGCATCCACGATCCCGCTCCGCGATATTCGAACCCAGGACCTACTAGTCTCGCGTGCGAGCACTTAACCACTGAGCCGACTGGCATCCATCGGTGTTAATGTCTAACTTCAACTAATCCACGAAATTGAGCGACACATCCACCATTGTCATCAGTAAATTACTATCTCACAAATGACCCGGCTGAACTCCACTAGTCACTGCTTATCACTATAACTTCAGGATATATATCTTGAAGTCAGTCACTAGTGAGCATATGTTGATTAAGTGCTCGCGCGTGAGACCAGTAGGTCCTAGGTTCGATTCTCACGAGACGGGATTGTGGATGCGCACTGTTGACGAGTTCCACAACACGACGAAACAGCCTTCCAGTGCTTTCAGGTTTTCCATGATGGTCTAGCTTCAATTGACTCATGATCTCAACAATTCAAATTACTAAAATCTCCAAAAAAACCTCCTTTGATTTTTTACTACTCAACACTACTGTGATTACAGTAGAATCAATAATTAGATCTCCATTCAAAGTTAATCACCATAGCTATAAACTGTATAAAAATTTATTCTTTTTTTATTTTTATTATCAAATTTATTCAATCAAATTAAAATATTGTTGTTGTTGCTTAGGGAGAGAGAGAGAGAGCGAGAGAGCGAGAGAGAGCGGGGGAGGAAGCAAGGAAGGTTAGGGGTAAAGAGGAAGGAAGAGAGGGGGAGTAAAAGGTGAGCTTACTCGTTAAAATTTTCATAATTCAAACATTTCTTAAGATTTTTATGTTGTAATAATAATGGATATTCACTTTTATTGTATAATGTTATTGAATCATATTTATTTTCATAATATTCAATTGAATCAAATATGATGCTTGATTTATTTATTTCATAATAAGGTGTAAATGATTGTTTATTACTAGGGAATGTATGACCTGTGAATTAAAAAAACAAAAAAACAAAAGAGATAAAAATGAAAAACAAAAAAAAAGAAGAGGAGAATCAGGGGAATTTATCATATTTGCATATGTTTCATAGTTAGTATATTTAGATGAACAATAAGATGATAATCAAATGAAGTATCCTTTGAAGTACACATTGTCCTTTTTTACTACTGACATTAGTCCCTCTCTGCTAATATGAATTTATTGGTTGAGCTAATAGTGAAAACATAAGTAATTATTTATCATAAGTTTAAATTAAATAGAAAATCATTGTATGGTATGTGCTACTTATGTCGATAGATATAAGTAGTATATACCATCAGTCAATTAGTCAGTCAGTCAACAACGTACAAGTTCGTACGTACAAACATCAGTTCGAGTTGCCATATACCTATTAACATGGCTCACTTAGTCCACTTGTCAATGACTTCATGAACTTGTGCCATGTTTTGGTCTGGCCGCCCCTACCATTCTTCCATCCTACTCCTATACCATTGAACATTGTACTTCGCGGCAGTTGGTGGTTGAGCATACGTAACACGTGTGCCAGCCATTTTAACTGATGAAGTTTCATTAATTCATCAATTGATTTGCCATCCTTACTTAGTACCCTTTTCCTAACAACTGAGTTACTTACTCGATAGTCCCAGGATATACGAGCAATGTGTTCGAAGACACCTATGATCGAATACTAGTAACCTACAACAATCCTCTACTCTTACCGACCAAGTGAAATAGTATCATTCGAATAACCTGAAGGACTATATATATTATGAACTAATCATATGTATATTTGATATATCAATAAACAATGAGTATTTAGTTAATACTATAATAAAAATAATCTGATTTAACATACCATAACAATGAACCAATAAACAATGAGGTGGTTTTATCTTTTCTGAACTAATCAAACTATTATCTCTCTGATTTTTGTACATAGCAAATCCTTCAAATTCTTGATAGTAGTATTGGCATATATTAGCCTAAAACAAAACATATCACAGTAAAACAAATTAGGGATGGAATTTAATACAAAAAAGGAGAAATAGATTCGAGTCATAGTAGGTACGCGTTGTCTACGCAAAATATTTTGGATTCGTTGACCAGACATATCCCAGGAAGAAGAGCTGGAAGTGGAAAGACACATATTGTGGAAAGCGCTTTACTGTGTCACAAGGTAAGCCCTCACTTGGATTCCTCAAGGCTAAAGGAAGAGGAGAGGAAGATCAAAGGAAACATTACGCCGAGAAATGAAGATAGACATGAGAAGAGTGAACAAAAATTGGATAGAACTAGAAAAAAAGGCCGAAAAGAGAGTGTGTTAGAGAATGCTGGTCGGCGGCCTATGCTCTATAGACAGTAACAGGTGTAAGTAAGTAAGTAAGTAAGTAAGTAACAGTAGGTACGAACTAATATTAAAATTGAAGACTACGAGGAGGATAAATTGAAGCTTAGACGATGTCACTCAAATTTATTATATTTAATTCATCTAGATAGTCTACACTATCTTACATTGTTTAGAACAATGCTCGTACAATGTGGGAGACTGAAAGACTCATAAAAGCTGCTACAGAAATGAGGAGATACAACCTAGAAGTGCTTGGAATCAGTGAAATACATTGGACGCAGGTTGAATAACAAAGAATAGCTTCAGAGGAGCTGCTGTTATACTCTGGTCATGAAGAAGACAATGCTCCACAAATACAAGCAGTTTCACTGATGCTATATCTTCAAATTTTACATTTAGTCAAGAATAATGAGAAATACTGTTAAAAAGATTCACTTGGTATTGTTTATTTGAATCTTCCCATTGATATTTAGGATCGCACTTGATCACTCATTTATTGACCTATGTGCATCCTGTGTGTATTGCTTCGATATTACCTTAATTCACAAGCTTTATAAGCAAATATAGATAGTGGCTATCAGTGCAATCCAGTTTGATACATGTTTCGTTCTATTTGGGACTCGTTAGAAAGTTTTCAGTAATATATCTAGATTAATAATAAAATATAAAACATTGTATATATCAGTCAGTCAGTTACAACGTAGGACCAGGCACATAGATGCATCGGTTCAAGTTGCCATACCGCATTAGCACAACAAGATGAACACCGGATTCATAGAAGTAGTCACATCAAAGGAAGTAGTATATAAAAAAAAAGATTGTGTATAAGGATATAATACAGGAAGAAAGAATTAGTTTGTAGAAAGAAAGATATGAAGCGATTTTATTCTCTTAGTTTAAGAGAAGACAGAAAGTGTATACACCAACGCCATTCTGATCGATTCTGAACCATGTCACCCACAGTCTCCAACCACTGATGCCATGTTTTGATTTGACCGCTCCTAACTTTCTTCCAATTATCCCTAACATCGGTTAACATTGAGCGTCGTGGTAATCGGTGTTCAAGCATACGCACCACGTTGCCCAACCATCTCAGTTGATGAAGATTCATAACCTTATCAACTAATTTACCATCATTCTCTAATACCCTACACGTCTAACCTCACTATTACTTACTAATTAAATATATATATATATATATATATATATATATATATATATATATATAAATGACTTACTGGTGTAAACAGTATAGTAAATTCTGTTGAACTATTTGGTGCAAGTTCTTTGAATATTGGTTCAATTCTAAAACTGTTTATTTTCTTTTCATATTGATTATAATTATTGATTGGATGATTGAAATTGATTTGTTTGCTTGGTGACCAATGAATTAACATGACATTATTGGTAAAATTTTGTACAATTAATGTATTTCGTATAGCTAAATGTTCAAGATTTAATTCTAAACCATGATTTATTGATTTGTTTAATTGTTCTGCACATAATAATGCCTTAGATAATAAATCTGAATTTGAAGTGAAATCCCAAGTTGTATAATTTAAAGATAATAGGGGTGGATTAATCTACGTTTGGGGGGAAAGAAAACATTCGTAAAAAAAAAAAGAGTCAAACAGTATGACAATGTTGTGATATCAATGATTAAGATCATGAATCAGTTGAAGCTAGACCACCATGGAAAAGTTAGAAGCACTGGACGGCCGTTTCGTTTTATTATGCTCAATAGTGACTGGCTTCAAGAGGTATATCCTGGAGTTCTAGTGAGAAGTAGTGACCAGTGGAGTTCAACCAGGTCTATTGTAGGATAGTAACTCACTGAAGACATTGGTGGATGTGTCGCTCAATTTCGTGGATTAGTTGAAGTTAGACATTAACACTGTTGGATGCCGGCTCAGTGGTCTAGTGGTTAAGTGCTCGCGCGAGAAACCAGTAGGTCGTGGGTTCGAATCTCGCAGGGGGCGAGGTCGTGGATGCGCACTGCTGAGGAGTCCCATAATAGGACGAGACGGCCGTCCAGTGCTTCCAGGTTTTCCATGGTGGTCTAGCTTCAACTGACTCATGATGTTAATCATTGAAATTACTACAATCTCCACAAAACCCCTTCTGATAATGTTGTTATAATCTTATATATTAAAAGAACATGATTAATGTTAGACCACCATTGAAAACTTAGAAGCACTGGATGGCTGTTTCGTTCTATTGTGGGACTCCTCAGCAATGCGCATCCACGATCCAACTCTCAGGATTCGAACCTAGTGGAACGAAACAGCTGTCCAGTCCTTTCAGGTTTTCAACGATGGTCTAACATCATTCAGTTCATGATCTTAATTAAAAACTTAGCAATCTCCACAAGCCCTATAGTGATAATTACCGTGTTCTCACTAGTGACCAGCGTCGTAAGGGAATTCTAGGAGTTCTAGTGAGAAGCCGTGACCAGTGGAGCCAATCCGTGTCGGATAGAGACAGGTATCTATCTCACTACAATGGAAGATGGTCACGAAACTTCGTGGATTGGTTGATGTAAGACACTAACATCATTGGATGCCAACTCAGTGACTCAGTAGGTTAAACGTTCGCGCGGGAGATTAGAGGTCCTGGATTTGAATCCAGCGATCGGGATCGTGGATGCGCACTTCTGAGGAGTCCCACAACAGAACAAAACGGCCGTCCAGTGCTTCCAGGTTTTCAATGGTGGTCTAATATCAATCGGTTCATCATCTCAATCAAGTACTTAAATAACACTTTGGAATTAGTTCATACTGTTTGAAAATTTTCATGGTTGATTTTGAGCTTACATATGATTTCAAATAACCATTCAAAATGGTTGCCTACTTTCTAAATTTGTTACATATAGTATGATAATTAAAAACTGATAAACATACTTGTTCAGTTTAATCTACTAAGTTCACAGTAATCATGATCGTAAATTAGTTTCTTTTTTAAAATGAAGTTCAACATTGTCAAAAGAGCTTAATAAAAACACTTACAATTGACCTGAAGATCTGATCAACAAGGTAGTGGAGCATCGTGAGGAGATGCGGTCCCATGATATCCGGTGATCAACGATTGGTCCATACGCCATTTGTTCCCTGAGGATACTGGAGCCCATGTGCACCATTGGTTTGGGATCCGGTTATAGCGCCGGACATGTACATCAGGTTCTTTTTAGTGCAGATCGATCTGGATAGTTCAGTAGTAACGTCTCTGACTATGAAGCTGGATGCCACGGGATCGAATCCGTCAGGAAGCATCAGTTCCTTCAAGATTACAGATACATTTTACTGACGAGTGCCAAGTAGCACAAAACCTAGGTCCTTGGTTTCCTGTTGACTACCTCCAACCACTATCTTAGTAAGAGCACACATATACGCAATCAATCAATCAATCAATCACAAAATCAATTTTTTTTTTTCAATATTACTCACCATGATTTCTGATGGTTGTATCATTTCAGAATAAATCTCATAACCATTTTGATGATGATTATCATATTTCTGTAATACCTATAAAACAATGGGAAAAATTAGCGTGTAGATATCATTTAGAACACTATCATTAAACGGATTAGACTGATTAAAATATTATTATCATTACAGAAACTTTATTACCCTGTTAGAGATCGGTTACTCCTATTGTTTCTTCTAAATGATTTTGCTAATAACTTTAAGAAGCAGATGATGAACATCCATCTCTCTTTCTCTTTCTTCAGTGCTTCCAGGTTTTCAATGGCGGTCTAACATCAATCGGTTCATGATCTTAATCAAAAACTTGACAATCTCCACAACCCCTAAACTGATCTCTTTTTCTCTATTGTTAAACATATAGATATAAAAGAGGAAGATAGAGCAAGAACAAAGATTGTTGTAGCTCTTTATATTCTGCAACGTATTGTCACTAGGTGATTCACTGACTTGAATGACTTTACAGGAAGACTCAGAATATTGAAAGCTGCACCAATCTTTATTCTTACTCTCTTTAAGATAATAAAGGGAACTATGTGTATGAAATTTCTCAAGATGTGTCTCCTTGCACAGTCTTTCGAGTCACTGAATCGCCTGAAGATAATACTTTGTAGAATATCGAGAGCTGCACCAATCTACATTCTTCCTCTATTTGTATTTTTGTACTAAAGTACTCATAGCCATATACGAAGATATATTAAATCCTTGGTCATGCAAAAATTCATACCTTATTTATCTATTCAGAAACAGTTTGTTCTCATACTCAATCCACCCTAGTAATATAATTCCATCCTCCATTATACTGAGTTTCATATTGCTTTTTCCAAAACATTTTCTTTATTAACCTTTTAATTTTTCAGATATATACGTTCTTAGCAAGTATATATGTTTCAGAAGGGGTTTTGTGGATATTATAGTAATTTCAATTGAAGCTAGACCACCATGAAAAACGTGGAAGCACTGAACGGCCATTTCATCCTAGTATGGGACTCCTCAGAAGTACGCATCCACGGTCCCAACCTCATAAGATTCGAACCCAGGGTTTATCAGTCTCGCGCGTGGGTGTTTAACCTCCGGACCACCAAGCCTACATTCAACGGTGTTAATGTCTAACTTCAACCAATCCACAAAATTGAGTCACATGTCCGTGTATACATGTGATCAGATTGTTCGAAATGTATTATGCTATTACATCATATAACTCTGATAATCTTATTATTATTACTATTACATTATCCAAATTAAGGATGATGTTTCAGGCAGTTGGAAGATTAAAAGTTAAGTAACACATTGCCTTAATTATGCTATAAAAGATAAATATCCGTGACATAATATCGTGTTAACACTGTATAAATATAAACAATGGATTATGGTCGAAACATCATCGAATGAATGATACTGAATTATTATGGGCTATAAAAGATGTTGATGATGAATAAGAAGTAAGCAACTATTGATAAAGAAATATGAATGATGAAGATTTCTTCGATGTTAACAGTGTAGTAGAATTTTATAGTAATTTTTAATAATTTGGATTATTCCATTATGTAGGTATATCCAGCTGAAGAGTCCCAACTAGGACAAAACGTATATTTTGGATTCCACTTCAAGCCATATATCATCTATTCTATATAAGATGTAGTGGGATTATGTTAACTCCGCCTGGAGCCCCTTTCCGGGGGCTACTGCCGGTCCCAAGCCCGGATAAAGGAGGAGGGTTGGGCATGGGGTTAGCGACCCCATCCCGTAGAAAACTAACTCGCTAAAAAAAACGCTAAAAACGCGTAAGTAAGGGATTGTGTTCCTTGAAAATTCTAGAAAACAATCTGAATTAATGATGGTAATGATGATTGTTTTGATGTTAGTGCATCAACATAAAGTTCAGAGAATAGAATCATGAGGTTGATATTAGCATCATACTTTTAAATCTAACCTTAGCACCTTATATGCAAGGGTTAATGATACACGTGCTACATAGCCTTCCTATCTAAAAATTATTACAATTAATCTGTTTTGATACATTAATCGCGTTAGGCAAGTTAAACCAACACATCAAAGTTAAATTGGACAGTGTTAGGGTACAATTGAAATCAGGTTGTACTAGACAAACATATCAGTAGTAAAGAAGTTTTCACTACTAGGATTAGATGAATTCGTTCCATATCAAGAATACATTGAGTTTGAAAATGTATACCATTAAATACCAACCAATGGTTTAATATTTAAACACAGTCAATGGTCTTGTGTGCTGTTAGAGATATGAGGACGGTAATCACTTCCCAGTTGCCCACCCCATGGAAGGGTTCTTTTGGAGGTACCTGAAAAGGAAATTGGATTAGAGGTGGTATTAGTGACCTGAGAGCGTGACCGCAGTGCCCAAGGGACAACTGCGTGAAGCCGATCACACACGACCTTTCTATGAGTAATTTTCGTGTTAGCACTGTACTTGTTGAGACCTTACCACGGAAGAAGGATATCTATGGGCTAAGGCGAAGTGCGTATTTTTAGGATGGACCCTTTCTCACCTCACCCCTCATTGTGGGAAGGAAGCATTTTTGTTATGCTGGTTGTCTGTAGGAAACGCCTTACTGCCGTCACACCTCTGTACAGTCACTAGTGCCAATTCATTCTCAGACCTTGGGTTTCTGGCTTTTAGTTTTACCGCTCTTCAACCGATCTGTCTGGCATGGTTAGGAACTTGAAGAACGATTGTTTTAGCTAGTATAACTCGATTGGTTCATCACAATAGGAAAGCCCAACCACCACATCAAGGTAGCAACAATGGTTGGGAGTTTAAACACACGCCACGAAACATGAAAACTCTGAGTTGGATCCTTACTGGAGTCGAAAATGCTTATTATGTAAGAGTTCGTTGATATGACAAAACACTTTTCCAATACTACCTAGTCTTCAATAGTACCCCTTTTTTAAAGTCAATATATGACACGAATCAATTTACACAAGAACACTTAAATGATACTATTTCCATGTTAACTAAATAAGTTTATCCTTTCGGTTGACCATGGATGGAGAATGCTGGTGAGCGGCCTATGCTCCTTCACGATGAGTAACAGGCGTAAGTAAGTAAGTAAGTAAGTAAGTAAGTAAGTAAGTAAGTAAGTAAGTAAGTATGAAATCAATTAGAAATAAGCTTATAGTAATTAAATTAAAACAAACTTACATCTATTTGATTGGTTAATTTCTTATTACATAATTCTATATTCATTAAATGTTTTGGTTTTAAATGATGTGGTCTTTCAATTGAATCATGACAAGTACCAAGTAAATGCAAAAATTGTGGTTCCTTTGAAATTTATTGATTGTAAATTGCACACACACACAAGAAAAAAAAACAACAATTCAGTTAACAACATTAATTCATAAATGATATAGTAAGTTCTGAAATATGGTATCTGACTGGAAATGGTTCAATGATCATCTTTTAGTAAAGATTAGTAACAGAAGAGGTTTTCTGGAGATTGTAGTAACTTCAGTAGTTGATATCATGAGTTAATTGAAGCTAGACCACCATGGAAAACATGGAAGCACTGGACGGCCGTTTCATCCTATTGTGGGACTCCTCAGCAGTGTGCACCCACGCCCCTGCCTTGCGGGATTCGAGCCCAGGACCTATCAGTCCAACGAGGCGGGGTCATGGATGAGCACTGCTGAGGTGTCCCATACTAAAACGAAACGGTCATCCAGTGCTTCTGTGTTTTCCATGGTGGTCTAGCTTCAATTAAATCATGATCTGAACTTTTGAAAGATTAGTAAGTTAAATTCCGCCTGTAACTCTCCTAAAGTTACTGCTGGTCCTAAACCCACAAAAAGGAGAAGAGATGGACATGAGATCGGTACCACATCCCATAGAAGAAAATCTTGCTAGAAAAAACGCCAATCAGATTAAACAAATTAAAGTAACAGCTCAAAATTGATTATAAGATTTGGACCTTGCAGATCACCCAGCTCTTTCATTCCATACACACCGAAAAATGCAATCGGAGACAATGAACTGCTAAACTGAAAACATACACTAGTTAACCATAACATAAACAAAAAGAGATTGACTTGTCTTATGTAACAGATGAACTGAGAAATTCAGTAGATTTAATTTTATAAAAATGAATAACTTGGATTACTTGTATAAAACTCTATAATTATCCTTAACCTAGCTTACTATGTGTGTCATTGTATTGATTGTTTGAATCTTCCTATTGATATTTAGGACTGTAATTGATCAGACTGCCATTGACATATGTGAATCTTATGTGGATTGCCTCGATATTGCTTCAAGTCACAAACATTATTAGCAAAGATGGGACGAAACGCGCGTTCTGGATTCCGCTGCTAGCCACTATCCATCCTTGTATATAATGTTTGTGACTTACAGCAATATCGAGGCAATCCGCACAAGATACACCTATGCCAATAAGAGACTGATCAATCGCAGTCGTAACCATCAGTGGGAAGATATAAACATCCAATACAAAATGAATTTAAACTTTACCTCATTGCACAAGCAAGTGGCTATCTGGACTCAGTAGCTTAGTAGATAATACGATAACATTTGAACAGAACGTCACTGGGTTCGATTCCCGCAGTGAACATCAACCCTAGGATAGATCTATATGAAACTGCCGAGTCCTAAATGCGACGAAATGTGCATCTTTAATTCCGCTGCTAGTCATCATCCATCTTTGCTTAAGATATAAAGAAAGCTATGTAAAAAGCAGTAATAAAATCGCCACTTAATACTCTAGCAATATTACTGGTTCATGCATAAATTTACCAACCGAATCAAGAAGTAAATGGTATTTGAGGATGCTTTCCATTGAAAATCAATCCCACTTAATACCTATTTTAAATTATGATCAACTGAAGGTTTTTAAAAATATAGATTCATGGAATCGAAAGTTAACATGATAGTTTGTGTGTTCCGAAATTTTACGAATATAAAGTCTTATAAGGTCAGTAAGTTCTCGTCTTAAGGCATTATGAATTTCAGTAATTTATTTAGGTACTATTGATTCGTGATGCAAGTCATTTTCATATGAGATTGAAAACTCAAGAGATACTGAGCTCTCTAATTAAATACTTTAAAATATGTACTGATGATGCTGTCAAGAAACAGGTTGTAAGGGCTCCATATTTGAACTACATAGGATATAAAATGTAACACTCGAAATTCTTCTGATAAATAAATCTTCTTCATAATCCTAAGTAAAAACTCTACATCAACTAACAGACACTTTATTTATTTATTGAAACACATAAACATTGGTACAAAGAGACACCAAATCGATATGCGCCATATAAACCAGTTGATTTATGTGAGAGCTGGGATACTACTCAAGTGCACAAACCAAAACAGCTAGTCTTCTCAGAGGGCCAAATCCGGAGCCTTTGACCTAAAGTCTGACCCACAAGGCAGTGGAGCAACATCAGGACATGCATTCCCATGATAGCCGGTGATCAACGATTGGTTCACATGCCATTTGTTTCCTTAAGATCCTGGAGCTCATGTGCACGATTGATTTTGAATCAAAGTTTTCCAACTCCCTTAGGTGAATCTTCCATAACTACTAACCCGGTTAAAGTGACATCCATTCACTTTTCGTCCTCTCATTTTCGTAAACAACAGTAATACCGCGAGAAGGCTGTGAGTAGGACTTTTCTGACAGTAGTTGTATGCACGTGGCTATGTGAGAGCATTTCGAAATGGAGAGCTGACTCTCCCCACCATCGGTTGTACTAGGGCATTTGAGTGTACTAATAGACACACTTAATATCGTTGAGCATTTATCAGTCTGTCGAATCAATATTCCACTGTTAAACCTCATGGCCGTCTCATAACCGAATAATAATAATAATAAAGGTACATACTTGATTACAAACCAACAGAGTAAATCGACGATAAAAATGACCTGCTACTTGTGGACAAAAGCCAATAATCAATTGTAGTGTTTCTTTTGATTTAATAATACCATTTGATAAACCTTTTATTATTGGAAATACTGTAGATACAATAGTAAATGATTGGTCATTTTCATCAGTATAAATTTGTGATTGACCAGTTAATAATTCATAGACTGCTGAATAGCCTGAATGATTTATTATATTCACTATCTGATGTTGTAATTCACCGATTTGTGTTATTGGGAATGTACAGTAGTTTGTTGAAAGTTGTATATTTACATCTGAAGTAAAGATTGAATTAAAGTGTCCTATTATAGAATTTGTTGTTATAATGAAACTATACAAAATATAAATCTTTATATTGTTTCATCACTGAATAATGACCAATGTGATATTTATTTAATCGGTCAAGTTGTAATGTATTTAAGTAGATTGACATTATGTTGTGGCTAGACTTAATTGATAGGATAGTACTATAGACCAAGATTTCAAACTAATTAACATTCATTACTAAGTCCTATCACTAATTTGAGGGGAACTGATACTACTTTTAAGTACACTTTCTTTATGAGTGCTAACTAGCATAAAATTTATGTTTAGGGTTAACTGTTATCAGAATTACAGAAAATGAAATCTTTTGATTTCAAAACAGAAAAGTCTTTGAACAGATAAGAACAATGATAATTTTTGAAACTTGATTTTGTCTTTTACTTGAAACTACTAGATTATAATATACGAAAACCAATATCAGAGATGCAAAATTAGTTAATTCTTTACCTATCTATCATATATATATATATATTCATTAAACGATTAATTTTACTTGAAATCATGAACCGATCAACGTTAGACCATCACTGAGAACCTGAAAGCACTGAGCAGCTATTTCGTTCTAGTATGGGGACAAGCGATAACTTCGAATGGGCTATAGGTCTTCGGTATATACGGTAACTGAGTTAATACACTTGATTTTAGTGGGGACAGTAAAGAAGTAAGAACATAATGCTATCCTCTATTATGCGTTCTGTAGTTTCATTCGTTGTTGTCAAACTGTGTTTCCATACTCGGTTTTTATTATAACGGTGCTGGCTCTTGTTAATTTCTTCGCTTGAAGTGAAGACATAAATTTTAACAACCTGAACCGACACGTTTACGCAATGTGGTTTGTTGTTCACGGTTAACCAACTTTATAAATATAATTGAAACAGTTACTAAATGAGCAAGCTAAAGTTTCCGTAGCATCTGTAAATATTTTGCTTTGTGTAATATCATACATACACAAAACTTATTGTGTTTTTTATTTCAGTTAACTTTTGATCATATGTGGTGTTTATATGAACTAATTGTTCTTTTGTACTTGATGACTGCTTGGTTTTGAATTCCAAATACAATACGTTCCTTCGTGCTCACCTAGTTCTTCTTGGTTAAATTGCGTTATTTCTGGGATTACTAATTCGTAAAATAATTCAACTACTTCTAATTATCACACTACATCAGTTATGAGCCTTCGATCAATGCTTGTATACTTTGCTAGGATTATTTATGAATTATAATAAATTCGTTTTTGAAACTACAGTAACAAGACTCAGAATAGAGTTGGGTACCATTGGTAAGCAACAAATGAAAGTTTAATTGAATTGATTTTATTATTCAATGAGTTTGCAGTGTCGGTTACCACATTAAGCCCATATAACTTATTCTAGGCTAATTTATCCATTCACTTACCTTGACTGTTTTCATGTGAGCGCAAATGTGTGTACACTTCGTAATCTACTCGTCAAATGTCTGTGGCTAATATTTGTGTGACTATAAATATTGATTAACGCTTGAATAAATGGATTTGACTCACACGCCTTCTCCACCGCGCATCTTTTTAATTCTCTCTCTTCTCTTAGCATCGTTCCTCTAATTGTCTGCTCAAATCAGTGAGTGTACAAAATATATGTATTCAAACATCAATTCTCGTATTCGACTTATTTAATCCCTCTATTCACTAACATGATATAAGTCGATTATTACATACGAGGATTGACGATATATATATATATATATATATATATATATATATCGACAGCGATCAACCATAAGACATAAACGGAGTCAGATCCTGGACAACTGAAAAATCTAAAATTTTCTTCAAAAATAAAATAAATATTTTATGTTCGTTTGTAAATTGACAATTACACGAAATTCGATATACAAAATACTAAAGGTTCGTGAAACAATAAAAATAACTAATAATAACCTTACCTTTTGGTTTACTTATACATTTTATCATTGTTTCCCTACGACTATTTGATGAAAAAGTTTTGAATTTCCCCACATCATAAGCTATTGGCATTCTTGAAGTGTAGGTGAACTGAATTGTAGGCATATAGAAAGCATAAATGAAACTCGTACATAGTGGAACAATCACTATCGTATATATTTATATAGTGATTTCTATATGGTTCTAAACAGAAGCTTCAATCCCAATAATCCGATGAATAGACATATCGTCTGACATATTTCAAATAATGACGTGCTACAAATGTTATGGTTTTCAAGGTTGCTAGAAATTATAACGAACAAGCATCCAAACTTCAAATTTAGAAAGAAGAGTTGTCCATATTAATCTTATCTTGGATTTAAGTAAAAGACATCAAATTTTACGACTTGACGATTCTATGAGTAGTTATATAAAAAATGGTACATTAGAACCATTAACCTTTGTTTAATCGTATTACATTCTACGTTGACTCCAAGTGACGCACATATTTCCACCGTCTTTGAATGGGAAGGAAGTGTTGGAATTTCATAGATAAAAGTAAAATTTTTATTAAATTTTTTCAACTTCGTATAGCTTGTGTTATTAACGTTAATTAATGAATCATTGCCAGACACTGTGGCTCTTTAAATAAAGTTTCCAATCGGTAAAAATCCCTTTGCATCTAAGGGAATTGTTGAATTATACCCAGTTTCTTAGCACTACGTGTCTGTCAATTGCCTTCTTCTTAAGGCTGACGTTAAGATCTTTTACGTACAGTGCTTCCATGTATATCATAGTAGCTCAACGGGTTTTAAATTCGTTTTCCATGGTTAATAAGTCTCTTGACTTCCTCATCCGCGGTGTTCACCTGATATTTTCATTATAATTGGTTGCCGATTGCATAAAAATTGACGTTGAGCAACTAAATATAATTCTAAACCTTAGTTTTGATTCATCAATAAGGAAATCAATATCAAACGGCCGGTCTGCTTCTTCAAATCACTTACTTCTAGTTGATACTTTTGTGAGAAACATACTGTTTCATTTTAATGTACTAAACGTCGAAAAAACCCTGGGTTCGAACGTAAACTTGAGGGTTTCGAGCATTTGCAATACTAAGCTATGCTTCATTCTTGAGGTATGTGGAGCCCCTTATTTTGTTGTCCTTTAAATCGGACGATGTTCGTAGAAGGGCTCTCCACTTTAGTGGTCCATGATCTGACACCAAATGGATCGTATGAATGATTGCTGTCGCCTATCCTCGTATATAATCATTGACTTAAATCGCGTTAGTTAATAACGGAATTAAATAGGTCAAATAACGTGAATGGACTTTGAATACATATATTTCGTACATGAAACAAATAGAATAGGGAGAAGCGAAACGGCGAACAGTGAAGATGGCGGGTAAAACGACTCTTTTTCAACCAAGCCTTAATCAATATTTATAGTTACACAAAAATACGTTACAGACATATGATGAGTAATGGTATAAGAAGTGTACACACCCCTACGCACTCATATAAAAAGTCAGAGATTGACAAGCGAATAATTAACAAGGTTAGAATGTGACAAATATAATGAACAGATTGGCCTGTATGAAAGCTAGGATAAGGTATATGGGCTTAACATAATAACCGACACTACAAATAGCTTACTTTTGGAGAAATTTTTGGACATAACTTACCAATTTAAATCAAACTCATTGAAACCTACAAATATCAGTACCTGAGTGCTGTTTCTGGAGAGCTTAATGTATGGAACAAAGAGGCCACAAACTGTTGAGATAAGGATAACAACTATAATAAATTTACAACCACTTACAGTTGGTTCAAAACTAGTAACTTTACAAGCAAAGGAACGCATTTGAAAACAATATCGGATGCTTATCAGTACTCTATCTGCATTGTGATATTTACTTTTATCACTTAGATAAATATAACTGAACTGTTATGATGTTTTTAGTGGCGAGTTCTCATTCACATCGATAATTAATGGTCTTAACCAACCCCACATCACGGGACTTATTTTCCATGCTGCAGTCATTGGTGTGAAAGGATTGTAAAGCCAACTAAATATCCACAGAGTAATCAGTGACAACATGCACCAAAACCTTACCAGCGCAAAAACATTGGTTTTCATACACTTATTTCCATTCGGCTCCATTTCATCTTGGTAAAAGACTCCCACACTTTTACGAGATCCTAAAGCCGTCAGTTTATTCTGATAAGTTCGTTCCAGTCATGAATTTTGCGCAGAATATCCAACACTAAATCTTGAACTCTTATGCTACTCAGAAGATTTTAAAAGGTAATCATAGATTGGTTTTGTCATCAATCTACCTTTTGAACATACCCATCTTTGAAATACATACTTTCAGCGACGTTTATTATAAAATTTTGACTATATGTCATGAGTAGACAATTTATATGGCTCCGGATCCATTGAGTTTTCCAAATTTCATTAATTTATGATTATGAGGAGATCTAGCGTTCTAGAAGTTCACAATTAAGGCTTTTGATTTTGTCTTTATGTGCTCTTTTAAAATGATTATATGAACTTTATCTTCTACATGCTTTTAGTTTTTTGGGGAGCGTGAAATGTAACTGAGCTCTAGGCAAGTAATCGGTCAAGCCGAACCGTTTCTACGTTGGACAAGAGATCACTGAACGTTGAAAAATTTACCGAATATTGTCATGGTGAAGAATTACTAAAGCTTAATATTCATTGGCCATATGTCGCATCACATTCCATACTTATCTTTTCCTATGATACACTAGTTTGTTACGGCTTTGTTTGTCAACGTCACTATCCACAGAGACCGTTTTATCTGGTTGTCACCATTGTGTATGCCAGGTTATGTATTAACTTCGATATGTGGCTTCAAATTGTTCTAGTAGGTCAAATTTTTCCTGTTCACGTGGATTTCACTGTATTTACTAGTTTATACTAACAACTTTGTCGTACCATCATGTTGTCATATACGACCAAAATACAGTTAACTACAGCTTCTAGCTCCGTCAATATGTTTGTTCTGAAATGGTACCATACCTGTCTTGTGGGAGACCAAGAACTTATGAATATCTTACTTTGTTATCTTCACCTTCCTTTTCATGGCACCTGATATTCCAAAGCTCCAGAGCATTTGTATAAACCCTAAGTGAGAAACTTTGTCAAATTTTTGCCAAGAGATAAACCATTATATTGGGCTAGTGTCCCATCCTCTTTCATAGGTTAGTTAAGCAAGCATGTACATTTCAAAACCCATGTTACTCAGGATTTAACAGATTTTATGACTCTATTTGATCAAGTAAATTAACCTGAATTATCTTTTCAAGTAACTCAACCACTTTGCAGGTTGACCTAACATGTCGTAAGTAAACCATGATCTGTCTCCTTTTATCTAGTAAGTAAGTAGTTGCAACATCTTTCAAATCTCTCAGGAGTCAAATGTGGGGAAACATGTTGGATAGTATCGCCAGCGGCCCTGAAATAATATGCGGGAAATAACGGCAATCGTGGATCTAACTCGTCGGGGCCTGATGTCTTACTAAATCTAGGGGTAATGGTCAATTCAAGAACATTTCCCTCAGCCACATGTGAAAGGCTTATGGCTGGTATTTTTGTAGTGTGGTTACGACACTTCGTGTTAGCAACACCCGTAGAGTAAACCTCAATGAAAAAATTTGATAAACTTTCAGATTTAGCCAGATCTGATTTGGCTAGTATATCTGAATTTCCAAACAACAAGGGAGGAGTGCTATCATCGTGTTTCGTCCTTCTCTCGGTGTATGAAAACAATCTCTTTGACTAGTCATGTTCATCATATTCTTACAGTCTTTCCTAGTTGGTGCAGTGTATTTTTACATATATTCTGGACGTTTTGGTATTCACACTCAAATGATTTGTGGTCTGTTGACAAGAATAAGCCTCAGAAGTGTTCTCTACTCCTAGGCAACCTCCGGGTTTATTTTTCAATGGGTAGTGGCATTGGGCCTTTAAACACACAATCCCCAAAGTTGAACACAAAACAACTGGAAAGTAGATATTCACAATTTAACACATAGAAAAAATTCAACAATGCAGAAGGCGGGTACAATGTGCTCAATTAATTCGAATTTATCGGATGGTATGGCTCGGCCTTGCTGGCGTGGTTTTACTTATGAAACATTATTTTATCCATATTAAATATATTGTTATATATGTGTTCCTCTTCATGTATTAATGATTGTTACAACGCGATGAATCAGGGTAGACAATGGTGTGACTTCCACGTAAGATATAATAGCTTAGGCAGTTACATCGCAACAAATCTACAGTTTTAGGATTAAGTCTATTATGAGATCGTCACTAACAACGAAGTAGACCATAGGGAGAAATATGGTAACCTACATGTTGACCATGTGGTATACGGTGATGTTGCAGGCTCAAATGTGGATATAAGCTCATACCATTCGTCTTCTGTCGATCCACATATATTGACCGACCAGTCTGTTGAAACAGAACAATTTATGATAACCGGAATGTTAACCGCAGGATATTAGAATGAGGTGGGGCCGATACATAGTATACATTTTGTCCGAAGCCTAAAGTGGAGTGCGGCGTGAGCAATTATTGCTAGTGGATGTAGGCACTGGAGGTTATTAACATAATCCCAGTGGTGTATAGAGACAGAGTCTAGCATTGACGGTTCGTGTTCCAAGCCAATATGTGTCGGTTTTGCGATACATTTCACTTGTGCTCGCCGAAAAATGGTTGAAAGCAGATTACCATCGGAACATATATCTGAAGTTGTAAGCTCTACCCAGTTGACATATGGTTAGTCGAAACATTTAGCCATAATCCAAGAACAGATATGACCTAGGAAAATGTCCTCAGCAGGACAACGTGGACTAAGGTATATTCCGCCGATAGTCATTAACCCGTGTCTAGACTTAATTGTACAGCAAGAATCACCCGTTCTGCCCACAGTAGTGTCAGAAGCATTGGCTACAAAGACATGAATATTGTGAATTTTGTGGTTTGTCTTGTTATTTCAATGTCTACTTTTTAACGCAGCAAGAGTATTCTCCCTATTGGCTAAGTCCTCAAATAATATAAATATTCGAGTTTCCTATGCTTTATTTGGTATAAAACCCCTTTACTTTTAATTTTGTGCACTTGATTCAAAATTTCTCTTGATTGGTTCTCGCCTCCAACCCTTTTTTCCGATTCTTATTACGTTAGCAGAATGTACTCCTTAAGCCTTATTATTATTATTCCCAAACA